AGCAGCAAAGCACAACACTGATGTCCTGTGAAATACACAAGTGACAGGTCAATCATAAGGATTTTGAAATTATCACCAAAATTTAATAAATTTGTTTAAATTAACCTACTATACTGTACTGAGGGGATCTTTCCTGTTTTAATAATCATTAAGCACATTTATGATAGTATGATAGAAAGCCATAGCTAACGGTTCTCATTTAATATTATTGCTGGTGAAATAAATGGCCTGCTTTTAAAAAGTCTGATATTAAGAAGAGCGATCCGAGGTGAAATATCTCCAGTGAATATCACTGAGGAAGGTGACAGGCAGGCGGACATTTCAACTCTTTGAGAACGACCAATATAAGGGTGGAAACACACATTGTGGTTCGTTCAGGAAGAAAATACTTTGATTCCTTCAAAGCATTTTTAGGTCTTTCTCATGTCAATAAAAGGTTTTTAAAAGGTCTGCTGTTTATATTGTTGTGAACCAACTCTACCTACGTGTTTTCAAACAGCTGTTTGTCCAACTTTTCAAAAAAAGGCACTGAATAAAACCGGTTCTTTGAAACTGTACCACTGGAGCACAATCGAATACGCCTCCTCACTCTCTGCTACAAACTCTCAGGTGTTTCAGCTCTGACAATAAGCTTTTCATTACTTCTGGCTGTGTAAAATAGATGAAACGTTAGTTCAAGATAGAGCATGTCAAAACAATGGAGTTGCACGTAAATGCCATTTACTGAGCCTAATTAAAATGAATAGCATGAGCATTAGGCCTTCATCAGGGTGTTCACGAACACAAGAATGATGATGAAAGCTTAATGGCATTATTTCCCATAAATGGAATGGCTGATATCATCTATTTCAAATTGTACTTCTCCTTGTAGACAAAGACCTACTCAAAGATCCATGTACTCTTAATATGCGTGTAAAGTATGAAGAGGCTCAGTGGGTGGTACAGATGGTACTGTTTGACACATTCACAAAATGTTATTAATGTTGTAAAACTGATCAAATATTAATATTAGTGTGATTAAGATTACAAAAGTTTTTGACTAAATGCTATTCATACACGCTTAAAAAAAATAAAGGTTCTTCACTGGCATCTATGGTTCCATGAAGAACCTTTAATATCCACAAAACCCATTTCCATGGCACAATAGTGGGAAAAAGGAGTGTAGAGTGTAGTTGAGTAAAATATACATGAAAACATTCAATCTCTGCTTACTTGAACGTGTGAAAAAATTATCTAAGCTCTAAATAAAAACATCAACACTTGTTCAAATCTCACGGCAGCTCGTCACATAAAGCAAAATGACCCATATCCTCTCAGGTCTTATATTACAGCTTTCCATCCCAAGCACATTTGAGTGTAATTCCTTATGGGACTGCTGCTGCTTTTAAACCTAATTATTAGCATAAAACACTTAGCACTTAGATATATTTTATATCATATATCTTGTTCTTATTTATTTAACACTTTAAATTCAGTGTGACTACTTTGTAAAACCCAAAATGATGATTTACAGTGAGACAACAAACAAGGCTAACATCAACACATGGATCACTCAAAGAAACAATGGCCCCAGGAAATGAATACATTTTGGAGCTGTGCACCTGTCAACGTAAATACAATCAACCTTTCAAAGCGGTGTCTAACAACGTCTGCTGCAACAAACACCATTTAGCATTCAATCCAAGCAAGCTTGACATTGTTCGCCTATATGCTGCTTCTCACCGGGTTTACACCCACATAAAAACATGAAATCAAAATAAACAAAACGCTCTCCCGAGAGAAGACAGGCAGTTCGGAGCTTTTCATTGGCGTATCAGACAGACTGCATGGGCACGGTTTTTGTGGTTTCATCTTGTATTTATGTACCGTTCCTAGCTTTGAACTTCACACAGAGGTGCTTTTTCCCCTTCCATCCTTTCCTTTTAACATATCACTTGCAAAGCAGTAAAATAAGGCAGACCTTCAGAGCCAATAAACCAGTCACTCTTGCTGCTGAACATGGATTTGTTTGAATATAGATTCTTCGAGTCAGCCTGAGCGGTGAAGGCGATCTATGTGAACAGATCGATATAAACTACTGTGTGCATAAAACAAGTATTTATATGATCATTACCGCATGGCTTGCGTGGGTAGAAGTCAGCTATAAGTACAGCACACTCACTTGTTCTCCTCCTCCTCCCTCTCTTTCACAATCTCTCTCCCCTCTTCTTATTTCTCTGCTTCTATAAGCTCATTTCATAGAAATGTGTGAACTCTAAGCAGTTATTTGTTTGGACCTCCATAATGCCTGCAATCCAGAGTGAATCACCGGCACTTTCTCACAAGTCGGGAATGTTAGCAGGTGGCCAGAGACGACTGCTTATATCTCATCTCGGAGACCTTTTGTAGACCATTCACGGCAATTTATCCAGAGATGAATCTTAATTCATTATGGCCCTCTATTACATAATGTAGCGTCCGTCGCTTCAACAGAGAAGAGGCTGAAATTGCAGCTCTGATTGAATGATCTGATTATCACCTCTGATTTTTTTTTCAGTTTATGATGTTTAAATAAAATTTTCAGGCTGATGATACACCTAGAGAGAAGATAACATAATTTCACCTTGCCATTGGGTGTGACTGCAGACACGCACACGTATTTGCCACAAGAGCAAATGCAGATCAAAATGGCACGATTATTAATCATCTCCGCCGGACGCCAATGATGGGAATGTTTGCATACATCTGCCTCAATGGTGTGAACGCAAGTGTGTGAGCATGTCAATGTGTGAAGAAACGAGTGGGAGGGCATATTCAGTGATATATAGGTGTTTTGTTTTTGTGTGCGAACGTGTGCGCGCCCTTCGCAAGTCAGCGGGCGACGGCACTATCATCAAAGGCAATCTTGTATCATCAAATGCCTGCAGGTCAATGAAGCTTTATGGGATTAACGCCCCCAGATTAAACACCATGCTTAAAATCATTTGCTGGCATCAGCTAATTAAATATGGAGGAGCTGGTGAGGTCATTCAAAGGTATATTCCGTCCTCCTCATTTTGGCTAATTACTTAGCGTTGTGTTGCTCTCTCGCCGTGAAGTTTTTGTTTAATCACACATAGACAAAGGGATGGCGGTAATTATGCTGAAAATGTACATCTTCAATTCTGGACCTAATCAGAACGTAGGAATGTTTGTTAGTGAGTAAAGAGTCAGTCTTTAGCATCACAGGCTTTGGAATAACAGGTTTGAGCAGTAGAAAAGAAGCTATTGACTAAGCTGAAAGAGAAACTGAAGAAAAATAGAAGGAGGGAGAAAGAGAGCCTGCTTGGAAAAGAGGGTTTGTGATCGACAGTGTTCCTACACTAAGTGCTCATATGTAATGCTGCTAAAATAGCAGCAATTTTCAAGTTCACACATCAGATTGAAACTTGGAAATGGGAATGCGAGAGAGGCTGTGTTAGAGCGTGTGAGTATGGGCGAGAAAAAGAGAGATCAAAAATGACATTGTGAAGAAGAATTTTTCTGCCATTCAAGAAATCCAACCACCTCCTCCGGTGAGGCCGTCATGTCTGTAGCCAAAAGAACATGAAAACCACTCAGGTTCTGCCTGCTGCCCAATCCAATTAAAGGAAAAACTTATCTGAGGACAGTTCTCCAACAAAGGCCACGGTGCAAGCCTGGATGGAAGATTTGAAATGTGCTAATTCAAACATGTTCACATTCAGCTCCCAGAACTTCTACTCCTCCTTGCAGATTTCTGTTGACGTGTAAGACAGCACCTACTGAGCTGTCGACTCAAACCAAGGAGACTCGCAGCATCCACTTCCTCTCTTTTTCTGTGAAGCAGTAACATGGTGTATATGCAGTCCCTCCAAGGAAATATCAAGTTTATATTTCTGTTTCTTTTTGCTTCTCTATATTTCAGCCACAGTATTGTGCGGAAGCCAGTTTTAGCCTTAAAAATAAAAAAGTGGCTTTATTATTCACAATGTGGCTTTAAATCTCAGAACTGCAACTTCATTTCTCAAAATTGTGAATTTCATAACAATTCTGACTTTGTTTCTCATAATTGTGACTTAAGGCCAATTCACACCGCACTGACAAACGCCAACAGACTAGTCTGTCGGAGTTTGTTGGATCAGTGTGTTACCACTGTTGGTTGGAGTTTGTTTTCACCCGACTGAACATGCCTAATCGGCGTTTGTTGGGTCGTGGAATGTCTGAGCAGTGAAACATGATTTTCCAACAAACGACAACAAACTCTGACATAATCTGATGTGGCCACGAACCGTTGCCATGACGATGCACATATTTCATTCCGTGAGCTTCAACCACGGCCTCTTTCGTTTTATTCGCCGTCTTTCAGGCAAAGAATGACACGCAAAGACATTAATAGCAGTAAAATTTTGATTGTGGCTACAGGATCATCCATTTCTTCCCCAGTCAGACTTCCCCGATGTTACACCATCTACACCGGACGCGAGTGGCGCGGCGCAACAAGATACAATGAGGTTCTATTGGTTATAATCAGTGACGCTGTCTACACTGGATGCGGCGTGATGCGACAACTGTTGCGTCCGGTGTAGACACGGTGTTACTTGACTCTCTTTGACTCGAAGTTTGTTGGTGTTTGTTGGGGCAGTGTGAACATGACAGTTGTTGTTCATAACTGCTACTTTATTATTCACATTTATGATTTTTTTTCTTGCAATTGTGACTTTGTCTTGCAATATGACTTTTTTATCTCACAGTTGAGACTGTGTTTCTTAAAACAAACTTGATATCATACATTTTCAACTTCAAATCTCACAATATGACTGACTTTCTCAATTTAAACTCATTTACCTATTCATTTTTGGTAACACTATTTCGATAGTCGACTTTAGACATTCTATTAACAGTAAGTAACTTTGCTACTACATGTCAACTAGCAGTTAGTAGAGTATTAGTAGACTGTCTGCTTAATATCTCTTAATATCTCTTACATCTCTCATTAATCTGAGAGGAGTGCACTGAGTGCTGCAGCCTAATCAAATGAGCATGAATATAGATCGAGCACACTCCCTATCAGACTTATTGCTGTCACTGATTTCACTGGAAGTTATGATAAATGGTCTGTGCTTTGTAGTGCAGACTACAAAGACCGCAACTCAATTTTGCATATTTGTAACTTAATCAGAAATAAGGTATTGGATCCACTTAAGGTGCATGAGGAGATCAAAGGGCCGAGGCAGAACCCACACGCACACGGTGACACTCATATAATCTTGAGCAGATGTGTAGAGTCACACACACACACACACACACACACACACTCTCTCTCTCTCTCTCTCTCTCAGCCAACTGTAGCTCCTTCTCATCCACAGCATTGGTAAGGAGGTTCTTCATGTTGTCAAACTTCTCTCCTGGAACCACTGATGTCAACCTGGCCTCTGCAGTCTTCACTTGACCCTCCATGTTTAAGAGTGTCTCCTCCATGTTTTTATGGTCCTCTCGCATTGCACTCAGCTCTGCAGTGAGACTCTCAACCTCCACAGCCAGCAGACCTTCACCTTTCTTATACTCCTCCAAAGCTTTCTCACTCTGCTTTAAATGATTCCTGACCCGCCCAACCTCAGCAGAAGCACCCTCATACTTTGCCTTCACCTCATTCAGCTGTGCTTTGAGGTCATCAACAACTTTGTTATTGAGATGCTCCTTTACCGCCACCACATGAGCCTGAAGCTGTTTCACCTTTGCCTCAGAGTCTATCATTCGCTTCTGCACATCTCCCATGGCTTCCTCTAGCTCGTGTATCTGCTGATCCGACTCACGTTTGATAGTCTCACACTTCCTGGTCAGCTTCTCACACTCCTGAGACTTGCATGCTAGAGCCTTTTGGAGGGGGCCCACCTCCTCTTGTGCAGCCTCCTGCTGTCTGCGGACACATTCAAGCTCTTGACGAAGTGTCTCAGGATCACCAGCCACTGGCCGAGACCGCTCCAAAGGTCGAGCCACAGATCGAGATGGTCCTGTAGGCTGTAATATCTGAATGCAAACACAAGTAGGCATTCATTATTAATCACACAAAACATTCTGACAGTATATCTTGTCTGAATGTTTTTCATGGATAGTTACAATGCCACAGTGGAGAAGACTTGAAACAAGAAATTAGGGGGAGGGGGGGGATCAAGCTAAAATAATGAAAAAAAATAAATAGATAAAACAGTATCAACAGCCAGCCTTAAAAGAGAAAGAGAAGATGAAATGGTTCTCATACATTTTTCTCAAATGGGGTCACACTAGGGCAACATAGGTGAGAGTAAAGTCGTCTCTGGTGCTAAAGTGACAACAAAATTGCATCCACCACATCTGCCCAAAAGCTGATCCCAGGCATAGTATGTCCCTTCAGAGAATAGCGCTAATAAATCATAAACCCTTCTGACACTGCAGGCTATGGAGGTTCTGAAATGAAACGAGAGAGAGCAACTTATCTGACTGCCACTGCCTCTCCTAAGCTTAACGCAGCTGACACAGCCAGTCTGCTCAATGCATTACTAAATATCAGAAGGAAGAAAATATATATATAAATACCAAACCTTGGGAGAAATAACTAAATGTTAAGCTTGTGCATGCTCGGCAAACCTTTAGAATCAATTCTTGATTTTAAATTTAAGCATTTGCACTTGGAAGTTTGATGCTATTGTTGAACGCCATAAGAAAAAAAGGTATCCGTTTATGTACACTGAACTGACTGGCTCCTGTGTATTTACACAAGTACATATAGAGTAATAATAATAAACTACATTTACTTATTTTGTAAACATTTTGTAGAGCTGAATGCTACAGACTGTTATTTTATAGTGATTAATTCTATTGTTATTACTAATTACTTTACAATATCCATGTTACACATATTACAGGCAGAAAATAAAGTGTTACTCTCTTATATGCTATAATAACCATATATATATATATATATTCTCATAGACAGTGTTTAATATATACAGATTTAGACATTTTTGACATTTTATAACCGCAATTTTTGGACACAGCAAGTTCATGTTAACATATAAATGTTTAGGTCCTATTGTGTTTTATTGTGGTAACAGAGAGCATGCCATACTTTAACGATAGACTTGTTTTTAAGGCAAAATTTTATGGATAAAAATCTGTTAGTAGCAGTACAACAGTAAAATCCCTCAGAAATCAATCCTCTCATACTTCTGTAGTCATTCCACAAATGTTTCCTTAAAGACCTTTAACTTCAAGTTCGTCCCAACTGGCATGTGTTGAAGTTGGTTTACATCATGTAAATTATACATAAAATGTAATGAGCTTTTTGGCCTCAGCAGAAATTCTTGGCATTTATGTTAAGAAGATTTTAAAGAAATGTTAATTCACCTGAGCAGAATCCAAGCTATGTGACTGTCGCACTAATACATTGTCTTTTCCTGCAGAAAAAAAAAGAACCCAAAATGAAAACACACAAAAACCCAACTTCACTTACAGAAAAATTACTTTTCTGACATCCCTACACTCAACATTTTTTCAACATCAGTACACTGTTTATATTGAGGTCTCTAATATCAAGGGTCATACTTAATTAGTATAAAGATCCAGATTTTAAAGACAAAGTCACCTTTGATCACAGACTGGCCAGGGTAATCTCCCTGTAAAATAAAAACATGCAGATTTATTCAGCATCTCATCAAACTTTGATCATGAGCAGCTGGATCTGGAGTTAACAAGCAGCAGTCTTTGAAGAGCATGTTGCAAAGATTTTTACTGACCAAATGACTCCGCTGCTGGACTCTCACAGTCTCAACAGCGCTGGCTCCTTCCTCCTTCTCTTTGACAGAAAGTAAAAGCTTCAGCTCTTCTCTCTGGTGTAGAAAACACAGATACACATGCATATTCAACAGCAACTACCACCCAACCTCAACAAAAACAAACAAATATCCTTCCATCAATATTATGATAGAAATGGGAAGAAAATTAAGAAAAAATTCAAATGAGAGCAGACAATATCACTAGGACAGAAGGCGGCAATTTCCAGGACAACACACAAATTACCTCCTTGTGAATGTCCTCCACTGTTGACTTTTCCTGAAAGAAGGAAAGAACAGAACAGAAAGAGAGACAGAGAACACATGTATTACACAAGATATCTATAGAACTATTACAATATAAACACACAACTACCTGAACAGATAAATACAGATGAGACTACCATCTACAGTACTTTGGCTTCTTTTGTTATTTACTGTAGTGCTGAAAACAACATGTAAGGTGCAGGCTTGCCAATAAATTGGCCAATTAGTAAAATACCAAAGAAACACCTGGCTGAGTTGATGCTGAAGCATGTTAACTTTATCGAGCAGCGTTCTCTGTTCCTGATGGAACTTCTTTAGTGTCTCCTGTTGGCTCTCATTCTTTTTTTCCAGATCCTGGAAAACATCAGATTGCCCACTCATTTATATTTATGGGTAACACTTTATTTCGATAGTCCACTTTAGACATTCTATTAACAGTAAGTAACTTTGCAACTACATGTCAACTAGCAGTTAGTAGAGTATTAGTAGACTGTCTGCTTAATATCTTCTAACACTTTCTTTGTCAAATTCTACTAACCCTAAACATACCCTAACAGTCTACTCTGAGAGTTAGTAGACATGTAGTTGCAAATTAATGAGAATTAGTTGACATGTAGTTACAAAGTTACTTATAGTTAATAGAATGTCTAAAGTGGACTATCGAAATAAAGTGTAACCTCATTTTTTATTCTGGGTCAGAACCAAGCTTCATAATATAGTATATGAGCAACACCCAGATTCAAGATACATCTCTCATTAATCTGAGAGGAGTGCACTGAGTGCTGCAGCCTAATCAAATGAGCATGAATATAGATCGAGCACACTCCCTATCAGACTTATTGCTGTCACTGATTTCACTGGAAGTTATGATAAATGGTCTGTGCTTTGTAGTGCAGACTACAAAGACCGCAACTCAATTTTGCATATTTGTAACTTAATCAGAAATAAGGTATTGGATCCACTTAAGGTGCATGAGGAGATCAAAGGGCCGAGGCAGAACCCACACGCACACGGTGACACTCATATAATCTTGAGCAGATGTGTAGAGTCACACACACACACACACACACACACACACACACTCTCTCTCTCTCTCTCTCTCTCGGTCACCACACTTCTTTGAGACAAAAGAGCGATCTTTCTGGCACTTCTTACATTGCTTCTCTTCATGGCTGACCTCGGATGTTGTTTGGGCCGTAATAACCATTAATCACACTCCTGTCCCTAGGGTTGGGTAATGATCTCTGCTGGACCTTGCTGAGGAACTTGAGTCAAGGATACAATCGTAACGCTTTTTATTGCCAGCGGGCAACTCCTTACTTCAGGGCTGAAGATACTCTTTAATGCTGATGTACGAGCAGCTGTTGTGACCGCCAAACCTTAATCAAAGGTATAACGTGAAAATATGCGACTTTCAGATAAGTGTCTCCCCGCCCACAATCGCCCTCATTGAGCTGTATAAGGTAAATAAGTTCCACTTAATTAGTCGTTACAGTTAAAGTGTCGTTCCAAACCTGTATGACTTTTTTTCATCTGCAGAATACAGAATATATATGGAAGTACATTGATTTTCATCATATTAACAATTTCATGTGTTCAACAGAAATAGAAATACAGTTTTGGAGCGACATGAGGGTGAGTAAATGATGCTAGCTTTTTCATTTTTGGGTGAACTACTAAAGGGTAAGGCATTTTTGACTGGATGAGAGTCAAGTCACATCTACAGAAAGGACCCTCTGAGAGCTAAATGCATCAGTCCTCTTCTACACACTAAACATTCCCTATTAAAACAAATATTGTACTGATAGGAAGCAAATATAATATTGCATTATTTCTATTACTTGTTGGCCCATAAATATTTGCAAATGCGTTAAAGCGCAGTGTCTCAGTTCCCCGGTTGTTATTGCCCAGCTCAAACTGTGTGTTGAGAGCTTGTTTTGTTGTTTATCCAGAAGCTGGTATTTGCTTTCACAGAGCAACCAACAACAAGACTGTGATGAAGTCTTTAAACATATATTTGTCTATTCATATATTAATTTCATCCAGACATGTTTGTTTATTCGTGCACCATCTGATCAGCGCGTCTTTGAGAAAGCGTACAAATCGAGACCTTTGTCTTGGGATTACTTCCAATTTCAATCAGATTCACTCATTTTAATTTGCTTTCTGTTAATTTCATTTGCTGGCTCATTGCACAAATAACCACAGAGAGGATGATTCTGATGATATTGCTCCTAGACAAAGAGACCCATTTGTCACATTATCAAATGTGTCAAGGTGTTTTGAATGGAAATATGACCCAGTGACAACCGAGGGGAATGATCCATTGAGTTGTCAAGACGGCTGGATGAGATCTCTGTTTGTCTCTGCTGGGCTTCACGCTGTCCAAATTCACACCACGTACAACACTGGCATCAATCTGCACTGGTTTTCTGCTGGGATGGAAAGACTTCAGAGGAGAAGTGTGATGTAAACATGCAAGAGAGAGAGAGAGGGGGAACAAACAGAGAACAAAGCAGTGGCAGGACTCGATCCAGACTCCTATAGAGGTCCAGTTCCACCACAGTGGCGCTGTATCTGTAGCGTGGCAGGGCAGACCACTTGGGTTACGTGCATAACTGCACTGATGCAAGAGTACAGCAATGCATCAATACTGTCAACAAATATAGCCATCAGATGAAAGCTGATTACAAGCTTCCTAGTGGAAAGCATTGTGCTAGCCATCAAAAACCATGGGTTTGAATCTAAAGGAATCGCATGCTTATAAAAGATATATATTTTCTGTGCACTGTAGGACACTTTGGACAAAAGCCTCTGGTAAATCAGAGGTTTTCAAACTGGGGCCCAGGAACCCCCCGGAGAAAAATTGTGTAAAATATAGTGTGAATAGTGTTTACTGAATATAACATTATTGCTAATTAATTATGCTTTCTGAAGACTTACATTACATTACTAATACATTCGAATTGCAAATGTTTCTTTTAACGTTCCTACATCTAACATTATCCCGTTAGTAGAAAAAATGCTGTTAATTTGTTAACTAAAAGTAAATTATTTCCAGATATTTTATTCTCTTCTTTTGGCTTTAGTACAATGATAATGTAAAAGCCAATTAAAAGCCATTTAATTTAACAAGCAAAAACATGTATTTTTAATAAACTTAGTGTTGACACAAAGTATTAAAAGTTTGTGGTCAGTAAGTTTTTTTTTCTTTCAATTGATCAAAAGTGACAGTTAACATTTTGACTAAATACTTTGTTAAAAAAGATTTGTTTCAAATAAATGCCATTCTTTTCAAAGAATCCTGAAAATACGTATTCCAGTATCCACAAAAATATTAATTAGCAAAACCAGCATATTAGAAAGAATTCTAAAGGAACATTCTGTGACACTGAAGACTTGAGTAATGGCTGCTGAAAATTCAGCCGTGCCATCACAGGAATAAATTACATTTTATAATATATTCAAATAGAAAAATTATTTTTAAATTGCAATAATATTTCAAAGTATTATTGTTTTTACTGTATAAAGGGAGCCTTAGTGAGAAGAAGAGACAGCTTTCAAACACACTTTCAAACAAAAAAATCTTATCAACCCCAAATCTTATAAAGATATTGTAGCTGCCTTTATATTTAAGAAAAGGGGCATCAAAAATGTAACGACTCCTTTGCCAAAAGACTAAATTTGCACTGGACACTTAACTGACCATCAAGACAAAACTTTGTTGTTAAAATCCCATATAGCAATGCATTCAAATATTACGCAATACAAAAAAAAGGTTATATCAGAATCAGAAATATTTTGCACAAATGGAAGCCGTTTTAAGCCATTTTTTAAACCAACTTTCTGTTCATCTTTAGAACATATAGGCTACCATTTTCTACACATTGCTGTTTGTCCCCCAAGCCCTGAAATAGCATCTTGCATCAAGCTTGGTGGGGTTGAGTGGCAGGTAGCGTATCTTCATGCTAAGCACATCGGCAGGGCTTATAAGTCTGTCTATGGCAGTAGGAGAGCAGAGACCAAGAAGTGAGACTTTCTGGTCTGGATATTGACAGTTCTGAGGGGCTTGTTGCTCAGAGATGACTGTAACACTGAGGGATTAGGGAATGAGAGGAAGCGAGCACAGCCGACTGAGACAGCAACAAGCCCTGTCTCGTTCCATCAGTGCACACGCATCCTTGCATGTGCGCACACACATCAACCTTCCCTAAAAGCACACACACACACACACACACACACACACACCCCTCAGGGCTCGCAAATGAATTTGAGTGATGAATAACAGGACCAGTCAGAAAGAACAACAGAGAATTTACACAAGATGTCACCATGCCGAGGTAAAGAGCAGCTGCTGGAACAGAAAGTATGTTTTGTGTGTGGGTGAACGAGAGATAGGGAAATGGAATTAGTATAGTGTTTTCTAAGGGTTAGTATCATGGTGCAATGAAAGCAATAGGTTGGCCCAGAGGTTTTCAGATTACTTTTACGCCTCTGCATGGAAACACATGTATAAATCGAAAGATGAATGCGGAAAACACAAAATTACTTAACCTTAGCATATAATTGGTAGCAAAAACATATTCAATGTGCATTTAGAGAAAGAAAAGAATGAACAGAATACAAGAACACTGTATAGCCAACCGCAGAGTTCTGCATTCAGATTTTAATTGTGTAAATTACAGGTGTTTGATTAATGCTAATTAGTCACCTGCTGCAACTGGCCTTGGAAACAAGTAGGCATGTTGGGAATCTACTTGTGGAATGTTGCTGTTAATTTAAACACAAAGGTGAATCTGGAAAGTACATAATATTTGTCTCTCGGCTACACAGTTTCATCTGGAAGATGAATATCCCGGTGTTGGGAGACAATAGGCTAGACTTAGCTCATTAACGGCGACTGACCTTTACAGCCCTCCTCTTTAAGCCAAGTCTATTGGAAGCCGAAGAGCCACTGTGTGTGTGTGCAAGAGAGGGGAATAAATCAGGCTACTTTTCCCTTCATTTTTGCATATTCTCTGTTGATACTGTGATCTGAGATGTCAATCACGTAACTGAACTTATCAAAATACAAATCTTCCCAGGAATATTCATGAGGAGAGAGGCATATTTGTGGGTATTTTGTTACAATGTCATGAAAGCTGCTAATTTTCTCACCAGCATTTGAATAGTGAGTACCATTACATATAAACAAAGGCAGAAAAAAAAATCCTTGCTAATTAACATGTCAGCCTGCACAACAATTAACAGTTACAGCAGGACTGTTTTATTTAAAACGTATTTCTTCTTTTTACTTTATTACTTTCTCATTTCCCAGATTAATATGCAAAGATCATTTTAAGTTATTAAAATTAAGTGAAACTCGCCTGTTATTGTAATAAAGGGGGAAAAAAGCTTTAAGTATTTTGGTGACATGAAATTAAATAACAAAACTGTGTATATATGATACAATGGAAGGATTTTTTTTTACTTGATGGTTACCACACAGCATCTTTTGGACTCATTATATTTAAATTCTTGAGTTTTTCCAAAAACATATTAAAATAACAGGATTACAAACTCAGCTTATTTGTTTCAAACTGCATTTTTAAAATATGTTTACTTTTCTTTATTGTGTACACTCTTATTTTTCACCAGGGAGTTACATTTATGTCACAACATACATGGCAGAAGATAATTCATAAAAGAAACCTTCCAAACCCTGAGAATTTTCTGTAGATCAGAAGACAGAGAATGATCGCAATCCATTAATTATTTACCCCAGCAAATATTGACAAAGCTAATAGTCCAGAGATAAGCTATTCCTGATCAGACTTCCATTTGGAAAAGCAAACATTGCCACGTCTCTCTGAAACCTGCCTATTAAAAGACACCACTCTCTAAGAAAGTGCCGTAATGAAATGAATCTTCTCTAATCATCTGCTGAGATGGACTTTTTCTAAATGCAAATCACGCAAGCACATTTGCATTTCCATGTCACAACAGCCAATTTCACTGCATGAAGAACTGTCATCGTCTAGGCACATTCTGACAACAAGCATTTCAAGTTAAATAGTAAAGGCATTTTACGGAGTGAGTTAAAGTCACTGTTTAAATCAGTGCTTCCCACTCAAGCAACTCTCCAATATATATTTTTTTATTATTATTTTCTAATTAATGTTTTTTTTTTC